GACCAAATGTAATCGCGAAGGCTGTCCTGTGTTGGGCAAAAGCTCAAGATGCCGGATGGTGTGATTGGCCAGGCTCGTAGATGGCACAGGTCAACACCGGTTTTGGGAAACCTGTGCCAAATAGGTACAACCTTCAAGTGCAACCAGCGCCGCTGTTCCAAATCAGACCGTCAAACAAGTTGAACCGCTGGGCAAATGTCTAAGCCCTTTTTGCTACTAGACTAAACCCTAAACCCTAAAACCCTAAACCCTGAACCCCGGTTACTGAGCCTTAGGAAAAAAGCGAGGCCCGGCCAAGGGACTTCGTCGAATGGTGCGAACGCTCGAAATCCTGCGAAACTGGTCGGGGGTTCGACGCTCACACTCGCACAAGGCAGGCAAGGCTCCACACAGTGGTCGGGGTTTAAGGTCTACCTAAAGAATCCCAAACCTCTTCTGCGACGAATATAACATGTGAAGCCCCTGTAGAATCACAACACAAAGCCTTTCAAGGGAAAGCTTAGAGAGCAGAGGGTTCGGACATCAATGATCCGATTTCCAGCGGACCTATTCTGACTCGCATACAAAGGGCGGACGCCCACGAGTCAAGTTTCCAAAAAATCTTTCAGGACGAGTCACAAAAGTGTGCAAGCACAGGTGCGCGTGTCGGCAGCCATACATCTCCGCAATTGTTGCAACAGCTTACCCTAGCATGTCTATGGCATGTATGTACATGTAGATGCAACACTTCTGCATTCTTGCACTGCTACCCCCTAAACCCTAAATCTCTTTTTTGCATCCAGCCTACAACGCCTCATGCCCTCAACCGTGGCTAGTGGCTATATCAAAACAAGCTGGGAGATTCTCCGAAGGAGCTGTCGCTTTTGGGCTCTCTCTGAAAAGCGGGAGTGCTCTTTTTTACATGTCCTTAGGATTCAAAAATGATGTTATATTTGAAAAAAATATATGTTATAGTTCATTACATTACATTACATTATGTCATATTTTATTGCATTGCCTTATATGGCCCGGCCCATCTTAATCTTTCTTTCTCTTCATAAAGCTGACGTATCCGCCGCGGCCTGGACCCGGGTCGCCGAGCATCGAGCCAGGAGGTGGCCTGGGCCCGGTCTTCGCATGGGCTACTTAAAGCATCAAGGGACTTAGTCAGGAGGGGGTTCAGGGTCCCTTCAAGGGATCTATAATAAGGGTTTAGGGTTTAGGGTCTACTTAAAGCATCAAGAGACTTAGTTAGGGGTCCCTTTAAGGGATCTATAAGGTTTAGGGCTTGGGACTGGGGGTTCAGGGCCTCAGGGTCCCTTTAAGGGATCCATAAGGGTACCAAAAGGGTTTACGGTTTAGGATCTACTTATCCAATCAACATATATGTAATTATATATAACTACATATAATTACATATATATATATAATATATATATATATATATATATATACAGGAGAAGCCCTAAAGTTGGAAACCCAAGAGCTTCCATCTTTAAGAGACATGTATAGGGAATCCCAGCACTGATTGTCCTTAATCCGGATGCCAACCTTTTGGGGCTTACTGTAATATAAGAGAAGATAGTATGATTCGATATAATTTGATATAATACACTATAAGGATACGATGATATAATACGACAACTTTGTCACATAAGTTCAACATAACCTAATAACTTCATAGAATGTGGCATCATACCGTGTAAGACAACTAATTTACTTTGATCTATAACTCTCAGGAACGCACAAGGCATGCAAGGATCCGCACATTTCGGGCCTCAACAAGCTCAGAACCAGGCTGTAGAGGGCACAGAAGCAGCAAGCAAGGTGAAGTTCAATTTGGAGGGTTCCCCAATGATTTTATTTCGGGCAAATCTGGCCATGTAGCTTGTGAGGCCTTGCAGATTGACATGCCAATCTCTTGATACTTCAGGGAGTGGCTTTCTGCGTTACGGTGTAGAAAAAATCGCAACCGCAAGCCCATGCAGACTTTCTGCTGGCACATCCCCGAATCAAACTTAAACGCTGGCATAGACTGGGACAGTGAAAAAGCCTACGGCACCTGCTTTTCGACTATTGAACGGAATCCTCGCGCTTTAGCCTGAACCTGAAATGCGTAGTAGTCGCCCCGAAACGTCGACCAAGTGGCATCTGCGGTAATGGCACCGGCATCGGTGGGGGCATGGCTCCGGCGGTGAAGGGGTAGGGTCCCGGTGGTCCTGGAGCCTCGCTCTGAGGGGCGGCCGTGGCCAAGAGTACCGGTGGCTTGATCAAAGGCCGCGCCCAGTTTCCTGGGCCTGGGTTGGGTGGGGCATCCATGGAGAGAGCCGGAGGGGGCTGGCTGATGGGGGGCTGACGTTCGGCAGCCTCTTTCTTGCTTTGCGGCTCGTCTGCTTCGGCCACAGCCCCCGCAAGCAGCTGCACGAAGCGGCTGCTCGAGTTGGAAAACTGCATGTCCAGTGGTGGACTCGGAGTGTCATCGAAGGGGTCCGGGGTGCGCCGTGTGCTGCCGTCTGCCGTGGGGGTGCGGCCATCCCCGGAGCTCGGGGTTGCAGTGCGTCTGGGCAAACTGGGCACTCTGGTGTCGAAGCTTGGCAGCTTGGCATATGCTGGCATCTCATCATCCATCCAGTCAGGAGTGCTCAATGGGGGGATTACTTGGCTGGAAGAGGGCGGTGGGACGAGGTCATCCAACCAGTTCGGTGTGCTTAGAAAGTTTGTTTGGGCGACTGGGGAGGTGTCGCCGAACCAGCTTGGGGTCCTTAGAATAGCTGTTTTGTCGGTAGTGATGTTGGGAAGATCAAAGGGCGTGGTTGGGCTCGAAGGCAAGCTTCGGTCGCGGCTGCCATCCTTAGCAGCAGGTAGCCGGCGCGGTGTCCGCTCTTCATGTCTTCCTCCTGCAGCCCTCCTACACGAGCATGGCTCCATCCATACATTATATGAATCCGCCTCTTTCACTAGCAGTGGCAAGAGCAGGAAGACCATGGAAGCCCCATCGTCGGAAGATGTTGCTCAATGCATAGATGCAAGCATGCACAACAGGGACGCTACAATTCCCCATCCTCAGTGCCCAAGATCGACTAAGAGCCGAAGGGCGAATCTTGCCCGAAATTCCCAAAATCCAACAGTCTCATGCAAGAAGAAACCCTGACATTGGCTGCTTGGCCTGTCAGGCAGTATCATCTATTAGGCCTACGGCCTATGTAAGACTACATGCCCCCAAGCGGCCGAACCCATGGAACTTGTAGGCCACCACCATCCTCGGATTCATGATCTGAAGACTCAAAAGCTTGTGGAGCACCTCCGTTGCAGATCCGGGTGTTGGGGCTAGGCACTAGTATCACTTTGCAGTTTACTCAAACCCTGGATGAGCGCTATGGCCGTTGGCTGCAGCTTCGGTTCGGACCGCCAGCACGGCTCACATCACACACGCAGCACCCTCCAAAAGCTATACAGACACCCCAAAAAAATACACACTGCGTCCGCCGTAGAGGGCGAAAACAGAAGATGCAGCCGTGTAAAGCTTTTGGGCTGTGTTGTCCCCTTGCAAGTGCAACCACTAGCTCCTCTTCCAAGAGCTGCCAGATAACCATCGAGGTCTGCCAGGCTTTGCCTATTAATACCTAGGTGTATGCTTTGGGGTTCAAGAGGGTACCAGAATTCATGATTTAAAGCGTTTCGGGTGCAAGCCGAACATGCATCAGACCCATGATCTGCAACGTCCTTATAGCAGCCTTATCGTATCCTTCTGAATCCTTCTCTAGCATCCAGCATTGGCAAAGAACCCTTGTAGCATCCCGTCTAGCGGCACCCTTACAGCAACGCTGATCGATGCCCAGCTTCCATCACTGCTAGGAGGGCACGTCGCCGGCCCCTCCCGTGTCTCTGGCCCCTCTTCCACGACGTCAAAGAATGTGTTCCTGGTTGGCACTCTAGGGGTTTTTGTTTTTTCCAGGTGTTACGGCATGTTCTAGGCTTTTTCAACCCCAAATTTGTTTGCGGTGTACCACGTACCTAGATTTGTCACCCACAAGTGTGCCAATGGACCGTATTTTACACATGTATATATCTACACACATCCACATCACACACATACACACGTACACAAATATACATACATACATACATACGTACGTACATACGTACATACGTACATACGTACATACATACATACATACAAAAATATATATATATATATATATATATATATATATAACGCAGCTTAAAACTTCAAAAGATTGCACTGACCTGTGAACCTTCCCATCTTGAGGATAATGCAAAAGTGGGGCGCAATAGTTTCCATGAGCTTTTACGCTGTTTGATGATGGAGTATGGTAGGCTATAGGGTTTTATCCGGCTTTTCAGGTACTTAGCACTTAGAAATGTGGTTTCGGAGTACATTGGAGTTACATCTATATCATGACAGGGATTCTCAGGAGATGCTATTCGTAGCTACTCAGACCCCAACATTGGAGGCTGAGCTCGTCTCCCAGTGTTTGGCGTCAAAAAAGTATCACAGAAAAGCTGACGCAGTGTAGGTTTAGTGCTTCAAGTTTCTGTAGGAATGTATACTTAGAGCTGAAAACCACCTCCTAGATGCCACTGTTGCGCAGGAAACTCTGTGCAGCACTGCTGCTTCTGCTAGCAGCAGCAGCAGCAGCAGCACCAGCTGGCACTGCCATGCACTGCCCACAGCTGTCCGAGTAAGCTGAATAAGCTCATCATCACAAGATGTCACCACAAGGGAACGAAGCAATTAAACCCCGAACCTCGTCAATCAGGTCACCGCGGATATGATTCACTCGCATGCTGCCAAGACTCTTGCATGTTAGCCCCTCGGGCACCATTGCAAACAACAGCCGCGGCCCTCCCCCCAACCCTCTGACTCGTCACAGCCCCGGGGCTGCCAATACAGCCCTGCAGGGGCTGCAAAAAGAGTTTGGGCCACAAAACGATTGAGGCCTCCACTTGCATGCTTGCCTATTGCTCCTGTTCTACAATGCTCGATTGCAACTGCGAACCTACACTTCCATCCACCGAAAGCCGTTCATCGACACCCTACCTCCGGACTCGACATTTCAGCTGAAAACTCGAACGCGTCCGAAGATTTTGGCGGAACCTTGCATGCCCCGATGAATTCCTGGGTCAGGTCGTCAAGCCGGAAGATTGAAGCTCTCCTTACCCGAAGCCTGAATTATTTTCTTCTTCTGGTACATCACCATCTGCATCATCGCCACCATACGACTATGTAGTTGTAACTGGTATGACACAGACGCATACATCCGCGAGTTACTAGCTTCCAACCTTCTACCATGGAGAACACAACTACCCGAAGTGCCTTCTCGGCGTGCAGCTTCCGCCTTTGACGCAAGAGGGCTGGAAGCTTTCAGCACTCTGGCTTTGGGGTGGTTTGGGCTTCAGGTGTTTCGGGGTGAAACGGGCATTGCTTTTGCACACTGGTGTTGTCATGACGAGTATGCGGGTTTCAGACTACATATATATGCAACCCCTAGGTAAACAAACCCCACTACATGGTAAGACCTTCCTAATTACAAGGGACTGAGTCCGATAGTATATCTGGGTTGTGGGAGAAGGGTTGTTTGATCTCAGCATTTACATTGCAAATCGTAGCTTTAATCCCTCAACCCGCAACCCGAGACCAAGTACGGACAAAAGGGAAAGTTTAAATTGCTGTCTTCTTCACTGACTCTTCCCCGGGTATGGTGATGGTTCCATTGAAGGATCAGGGGCGGTTAAGACTTTTGGGGCTGAAAGCTTGCTCCAAGACTACCAGGTCTAGGAGGGTTTACGGCCCAAGCCAATCTCCCATATCTGAATGTAAAGAGTCCCATGAAGAGGAAGCCATGAAGTTACAAGATGTTACAAGAGAATGCCTCGATCGGCATCTTCACTTTTGGGATTGGGGTTTAGGGGATTCGTCAAACTTATTGAGGATTTAGGATGGTTTAGGACCAAGTCCCGGGCAATGCTTCGGCGTGCTGCGCCTCTCCCTGTGCCACTGCCTCCTGACAAGGTGGGATTAAGGCGGCGCTGTCAGCCGTAGCAGCCATAATAAAACAAGCGAGACCATCTTGAGCAAGACAAGCAGAACACCGATCACAGGCATCAGAAGAGACACGAAGAAAGGCATTATCAAGCTAGTTGCAGGCAGTTTACTCGAGCATTGGAGAGATCTGAAGGGATCATTGCTTCAAGCCGGATGGGTTCCTCAAGGCCAAATTACCATGCCATCTAAAGTCTGAACGGAAGGTGTTGAAGCAGCGTCTACAGTAACTCTGATGCTCTGAACTCAAGCTCTGAGCTGTCACCGCAAACCCACTGCGCCCTGTGATCTCTTTTTGCCCAGCTCCGCACGCAAAGAGGATTCACAACGTTCTGCTCTTATAGCGCTTTGAGAATGAACAGCCGTCGGTTCTTTCGAATGCTCTTTACGTACGGACGGACAAGAGGCTTGCCGTGTTGCCAAAGCATACGAAACAGACCGTCTACCAGAACCACAACCAGGACCCCGAACCGCAACCATGACGACCGACGAAACCACGACAGCGACCGACAACAGCAACAGCCAATAATGAGAATAATGGTGATAAGAGTACTAATAGTAATAACCGCAATAATAGTAATACTAGTGATAATAGTGATAAGAGTAACATTAGTAATTAGCGTATTCACAATATGAAGAAGCATCTAGCAGCGTAAGAAACTCTCGGGCCCTCCTCGAGCTCCCGGATCTTGTCGGAAGCTTCGGACAACTTTGCAGTCCAGACTCGCCTTGACCCGGGATTCGCCACGGTTGATGATATAAATCCTGCATTACCCAGAGGAAAATACCATAATTCCCATAGTCTGGGTCATTACGGTAATGCAGGATTTATATCATCAACCGAAGGACTACTTAAAGCTTTAAAGCATCAAGGACTTAGTAGGTCGGAGGTTCAGGGTCCCTTTAAGGGATCTATAAGTCTATAAGGGTACCATAAGGGTTTAGGGCCTACTTAAGGGATCAAGGGACTATACATAAGTAAGGTAACTATACGCATATCTCCTTCTAAACCCCTTGTAAGGTACAGTAGATGCAGGGCGAGTGGGCGGGTTATGATGGTGTTCCTCCTGCCTGGCAGACCAGCAAGGAAGATGCCCGCATTGCAGGATTATGGTGTAAGGTGGAGGGGTAAAAAGTTCGGGGCGGAGCAGCAAGACAAGACTCGCAACAGGGCTTCGGAATTCTGGCTCAGGATTCTGATGCTCTGGCGACTCTGCCGCTGGAGAACCCACCACATCTGCGCATCGAAAAGCTTCTTGTGAACAACGCATGACCTGTTCATTAGGCCTTCACGGTGGAACCTAAGCATCGCCATTGAAGGGACTCCCTGCACGAAAGACACAAGCACGCCGTCTGCTCCAGGGAATGTACAGCTACACCAGTGGCTGGTGGATTGCAGCTGGAGCATGAGGCAAGGTTGTGCAGGAATCTGGCTATGCAATGCAACGTTTAACGAGGCCTCGTCAGAGGTGACCTCCCTCGCGATCACGCTTCTCTCATGAAGCGGCTTAGTGTAGCGTGCTACCCCTCCGCCCGAGCCTACACCAGGAACAAACTGACACAACAAAAGTCAACTGGGCTCAAGAATTCCCTGGTGCTTAGTAAGGCATGGGGGAATGGATCCCTATTTATATGTATATATATATATATATGTGTGTGTGTATGTATGTATATATATATATTTACATATATACATGTATATATAGTATTCCCTATATAATCCCCAATAAAAATCCCCATAATCCATTCCCCCATTCCCTGCTAAGCACCAGGGAGAGAAGCACCAAAACGAGAACGCCTTGCCTAGACTCCTAGCGGACCCGGCTCTTGAAACCAAAGCAGCACAGACAATATAGAGGCCTTTATAATTAATGTAGGGTTTTGGGACCCACTATACTATAATTAATTATAATTATAACTATAATAAGGAACCCCCAAAACAGTGTACGCAATCATTGAGGCCCCCATGTTACCCAAGATGCAGAGGACGTTGCAACTGTGAAAGACTGAAGTAGCCTGGGGTGCAGGCAGGTCTTCGATAGCTTTGTCCTCTTGCTTCTTTGTCATCTCCTCTCACTGTCACTAGACGGCAAGAGCTCGTCGTTTTATGACACTTTGGCAAAATCTCACTATAAAACAGAGCCTTGAATTCCGTCCTCCATCTCTGTCATCCGTTGGAGGGTTTCATTCATCTTCCATTCTGGCACTTGCCTCTGCGGACGTGCTAATTTCAGTAATTTCAGCCCTTGCACCATTCAACTGAGAACCGCGGTCGTTTTATCATGGGAAATACCCGGTGGCCTAGTGACTAGACTAAGGTTTGGGGTACGGGTACATCTTCATAGTAAAAACTACATTTTGGGAGTCTGAGGGGGCCCTATTGCTATACCTGCACCTTTAAAGGCTTCCATAGCATTGAGATTCAAGACCTGGGTTTGGGGTTTAGGGGTTTAGGGTCTAGGGAGTTGCAGGCCATGCCGGCTTTGGAGCTTACGGCTTGAAGCATTGCGGAACGTCAAAGTTATTGTACAGCGTGCATTGTTATCGAATCGACGCCGCTGCGCACGCGGCCATTGAGGACCCTGCGGCTCATCCTGCACCTCTGCTGCTCGTCTCTGAAGTAACTCCTCCTCGGCGAAGTAAACACCAAGGGCTTCAATGTTCCTAAATCCTAAACCCGTCACTATGAGGTCGAGCTGGAAAAAAAGCAAAACAAGTCTCCAAATCTGAAGGTCTTCGTCTCTGCCTTCCGAAGTTCCTGCATGATTAAGCATGAATAGGGCCCTTGATAATGAGAATAGTGTTTTGGGACCCATAGTACAATCATCATAAGAAGGAACCCCCAAAATAGTATAGGTAAATATTAAGGCCTCTATATTAATATCTGTTTCTTGCAGGTCCTTTTCGTTTCCGGCACTGTCCCTCAAGACCCAACACCCACTTAGAGGATCGTGGGACTTACATAGTACCCAAATTAATTAAGCTTATAAGCAGATATGACTATATATAGTTACTGTACTTGCAACCCTACTTGCTAAGTCCTTTGAACCAACACCCATTCTCCTCGAGCTGGGCCAGTCTCCGCAGGGCTTCGTCAGATGCCGCATCTTGCACCAGCCTTTGCAAGAGCAGTCATGTAGGGGCCTTAATTATTAGAATAAGGTTTCGGGCTGCTGTATCGCAAAATAAGAATAACGAACCCTGAGGAATGATAGTGGCAATTATTTAGGCTTCTATAGTAACGCACGCAGGGGTCGGCGACAACGAAGAGGAATGAGCGTGAGGTTATACATGATCAATTGGAGAAGACGGCAGGGGTTGCTGCCTCTGATTTTGGTGATGAAAATGAAGATAACCATGCTGATTGTAATGATGTGGCTTCTGATGATGGTCGTGGTGGACGTCAGGATGAGGTGGTGGTGGTGGTGGTGGTGGTGGTGGTGGTGGTGCTATTGGTGCTGGTGTTCGTGCTTATTCTGGTGGATGTGCACCTGATGAGCCTGATAAGGATGAAAGTGTAGAAGTACTGCTTGATCGTCTTCGTTTCAGCAGCAATGAAAGCATTCGCATGAATGATCTGCCGGTATACAACATTTGCATTTTCAGTGCTAGTATCAAGCAGTCATCGTGGTGGGGGTGGTGCCTGCGGCGATGGCGGCGGCAGTGGTGTTGAGCAGCAGCACCAGCAGCAGCAGAAGAGCAAGCAACTCTTGGCGGCGATAGTCTTGGTGGCCGAACTTGCAGGAGCAGCAGCAGAACAAGGAGAAGTTGTAGATAGCAGGCGCCAGTAGAGCGGTCTGGCCAACTTAACGGAGACAGGTGCGAAGCGATCCTGGGAGAAGAAGCAGGGACATTGGTTTGGAGCTCTGGGATGAAGTAGACGAATGCTTGCGAGCCTGCGAGACAGCACAATGTGGATCCCGGGGCCGTGACGTAGACGGACTTTTGTCACTGGCTATACAAACCAGCTGCAGTCCAGCAGCTGCGAAATCGTGACGTTCAGATACGTTCAGTCTACTGCTTTCAAGATTTTCTTGACAGCCCACGCAAAGGTTAAATTCGCCCTGGCCGCATCGCGAGAGTTGCATCTTCAGAAGGTCTGACCATCCGTGGCTGCATGACTCAGACGTCAGGCCGGGCTTAATTTTGAGGAACCCTACCGATCAGGAGTCTCATCCGTCATACTCGCCCTCCTCCTCATCGAACTCCCCTTCCTCTTCGGCAGTCGCGTCTTGATACTGCTGATACTCAGAGACGAGGTCATTCATGTTAGACTCGGCCTCCGTGAACTCCATCTCGTCCATGCCCTCACCCGTGTACCAGTGCAAGAAAGCCTTGCGGCGGAACATGGCCGTGAAGTACTCGGCCACCCTCTTGAACATTTCCTGGATGGCTGTAGAGTTGCCTGCGAATGCCACAGCCATCTTCAGGCCCTTGGGTGGGATGTCCTGGATGGATGGAAGCACCAGGAACCAGAGCGTTGCGATTTGGGATCAAGCTATTTGGGATCCGACAACCGCAACCCTGACCCGAAGAATCCTGTATCTTGAGCAACCCACAACTCCATACGTCTAAGTCTGGAACTCTGCTTATCCGGGCGGATAGGGTATCGGGTGATGGTTCCCTCGCTCTTTGCTTCCAGGGTTCACAGACGGATGCCTTGATGTTGTTGGGGATCCACTCCACGAAGTACGATGAGTTCTTGTTCCTGGATAGGTGCACCATGCTTTGTAGCAAGCAGCATACTACAGACCCAAAGCGGATTGTTCTCGGGAGCTCCTGTATTAATTTGGAAAGCTTGCATTCCCTATATAGAATTCAGGTCTTCGGTTTGCAGCAGCAACGACAACAAGGATCTTTACGTATATCAAGCAACTGAGGAAGAGTATCGCTGACTACACGGACCCCTATCTTACACCTGCAGCTGCCAAGTTGCTGGACGTTAAGCATTTGCTCATCCACCTGGCGAATGTGTGTGGTTTTATAGTAGGGCTAGGGATGTCAGCATCTGCGTATCCACCTCTTTCGTAGACATTCGGCCGCGGAAGAGTGCCGCCGCCGTCAAGTAGCGCCCATGACGCGGATCGGCCGCGCACATCATGTTCTTCGCATCAAACATCTGCCTAATGAGCTGTGTTTCTTGGAAAAGTAGGGCAAGATGACAACGTCTTCACCCCACGCACATTGAAAATCATCAGCGGCCACCAACTGCGTCAATGACTGCCTAATGAGCTTACACAAGTACCCGAAGAAGGGCAAGAAGTCGCGAATTTTGGAAAACAAAGAAACGCAAAAAGTCAAGCTGCCTTTCGTCCACAGCAAGAGGCAATGAGCTCCATGAAAGACTGTCTGTGCTTGCATGCAGAACTCGACAAGAGCAGGGTGGTTGCTAGTCTCTTGTTATTCATTCATGCACAGACTCCCGTAGCTCGAATCTGGGAGAAGGCACTCAAGGAAGATACAATGATAATTGAGGTAGTCATGATCGAAAACAGGATATTGACAAAAATAATGATGACAATAACAACTAAAAACAAAAACAAGACCAATAAGACTTGCTCCGCCAGAGACAATGCTGTCTGTTTGTGATGCAGTCCCGACTGCCAGGTTCAGTTCACCCGAGCTCTTACCGCAGTTGCCCAAGCTATCAAATGACGAAAGATTCACACAACGTTTAGAGACACCATGGGTTTGCTAGTTCGAATAATCTTTTTCATGCATTGTTCCTCTTGCTCTGCTGCGAGGTACATATGCATGTCAATGTGTGGAAACCCAAGTGCTCGATTGATATTCAAACGACAAAAACTGCGGTGGTGCCTTTGTGCTCCCGTAGTATCTCACTAACACCGAATACAATTCATCAGGGAACTTCTTCTATGCATGCCAAAGCGTCTGCGTCAGCTCAGGAACTGTGAGAGCCCGGTACTGCTGCGACCCACGGGATGTCAGGGGTGCGAAGCCTGTCATGAAGAAGTGCAGTCGCGGGAATGGCACCAGGTTCACGGCAATCTTGCGCAAGTCGCAATTCAACTGCCCGGGGAAGCGCAGGCAACAGGTGACGCCACTCATTGCTGCAGACACCAGATGGTTGAGGTCTCCATAAGTTGGCGTCGTCAGCTTGAGTGTTCTGAAACAGATGTCATACAGAGCCTGCGCCAAGGTACTTCACAAGCGACATCTTGTAGCTCATGGCTACAATGCAGGCAGGCTTCCAAGTTATTTACAAACACCGTTCGCATGTTCTCCCCATCCCTGAATGCCAAGACCCAATCCTCATTGTCCAGCAGGAAAGATTCGTCGGAATTCTCGACGAGCTGGTGGAAGCTCAGCACAGCCTGAAAACCACGAACAGCAATGATCTGAACTGCACCAGCAACTCAGGACCAATGCCCACGCAGTAGTCATGCAACAGGCAAGCGTGTCTCTTGCATTGGCAAAGGCCAAGCAGCGTTGTACGGCTCCACGACGGTGTCCGAAACTTTGGGGCTCGGAATCACCGAGAACGTTTCCATAATGCGGTCTGGGTACTCCTGATTTCAAATCTTGCTTTGACACCTATGTAGTGTCTCTGTCTCCTCACCATGCGTTTCCCTACGTGCTGTCGTTCGAGGTGTGAGACCGAGACGATGTACTGTCAATTCTTGTCAATGAGCTCAAGTTCATTATTCGGCATATCTGGAAGAGAAACCGCGTTGCCCTGACAAAATTTCTGGAGAATAACTCTGGGAATGTGATCTGATCTTACTCTTTCAGGCTAAAGCTGCACCAACACGTGCTCTGAAGAAAATGGTGGCTCATGCGTCTCCTCACGCACCTTTGACACCAGCAGTGTGCCCATTCCGGCTCCCGTGCCTGCATGCAGCCAGGCCGAGGTTGATCTAAAGCAAAATGCTCTAAGCCGCCGTCCTAATTCTGCTGACTTCAACCGTCTCACAACCCATTTTTAAAGCCACCTTCATATTTAAAACCACTTGGATAATAAAGTACTCCTAGCTCTGTTTTTTTCTGGCCTAGTGACTCGTGCTGCATGCCTGCAAGCAGTGCTTCATTCAACCCGAACTCGAAGTACCCTAAACCGACGCCTCCGCCGAGCGAGTGGCAGAGTTGAAAGCCTCGAACGCGAAATGAGAATGGATGCAGGCGCATGGTTTCTGCAATAACAGTCCACACAAGACACCACGCGTGCAGAACCTCGCACCTTGCAGGCAGTCACAGCCCTCTGCTTCCTGCAGACGAGAAGGTCAAGGAATGCCAAAAGCCCGAGGAGACCAAATCAAGCACCACGTCAAAAGATTCACAGCCCTCCATGAGCCGTCAGTGTCCTTTCTCACCACATCCAACACGCTGTCGATTAACTCCGCACCTTCTGTGTAATGTCCCTGAGTCCACGACCGCTGGGCTTTCCACCACCGACACTTCCCTACTTGATGCTGCTTTAATCTGCGATTTCACGAAGCCAAAGCGTCGCTTTGACGACATGCGACTCAAGAGGACAGACTGGCAGAAATTCAAAATCCGCCAAGTTTCTTTAGCCCAGTTATTGCCAGCACCTGCCAGGGTGACGCGGCCGCACAGGATTGCACGGTGCCACTCGTGCAAACATGTTCACCCCCAGTGGTGCCTGTCTGGCCAAAGACAAAGTTGTCCGGACGAAACAGTTGCCCAAACGGGCCAGCACGCACGCTGTCCATGGTACCTGGTGGGCTCTTCAAGGCTAGTCCGGCTAGTCAGCTTCGAATGATGCCTTCAGCGGCAATCCGTTGACTCTTGCTCGTCTCCTAGAGCCCGAAAATTACAAGATATCGCAAGTTGACAATGCCACAGTATGATTGGTAAGGCGAAGCTTCTTGCATGAAGCCGTACGTGTACTTAATAGTACGAGTGCGGCATTCTAAGCAAGAGCGTAAACATGCTGCCTGGCGTCTTTGCGCCCGAACATGTTGACTTGCAGGCTTGTTTTATTAATTGCGCACTGTTCAGGCTGGAGAGACATGTCAAGATCCCATAACTAATGACCTTTTACAGCGGGCTTCTCTCGACTCGCTCGACGGAACAGCCGCCGCCTCGAAGCAGTGCATCACTGGTGACTGCGCAACCCCGCACAACTTGTTCTCATGACAAGCCATGCAGTTTAACAGCCCAGCTGTGAGGCATCGTGGCACTCAAGACAACAAATTAGCCGAAGCCCTAAACCCTTCATCTAGCGATCAAAACACTATAGGGACCTTAATAAGTAGGACAGGGTTTTGGTGCATAGTGATCTATAGTTGCGGTGAGGAACTCCCCACAATAGTAAAGGTATTTTTGTAAAGGGCTCTATATTTTTACGAAAGGCATCTAACCAACTAAACCCTTAAACCCTGTACGCCTGTTACCTTCAACCCTTCTACACCTGGACTACACCTTCAACCCTTTCTGAACCCTGAACCGTTCAGCCTGAACCCCTAAACGAAAATGGCCCGAAACTGGCTGCGGATCAGGCGCCAGGCTCCAGATCCATCAAGACTGCGCGGGGAACGTAGCGGCCACCGGTGGCCTAACATAAAGGCAGGAAATGAAAAGTATAGGAACAGTAGCGATACTTAATTATCATCATCATAACATCAATAGCGATAACAACACAAACACAATAACAACCACAATAATGAGAGTACGCTTGCATAGATCGGACTTGACAGCCGAGGTTCATTGTTCGCGGCCGGCTTGAAACAAAGCAAGGATGGGGAACGCTTGCTTTGCAGGTAAGCTCAACAGACTTAAAACCGCAACGGCCACACATGGCGCCCTCCATCGACATCAAGGTTTGCTAATGACAGGTGGTCCCAGTCTCGAGGATGCAGGACTATCCCCTGACTCTGGTATGTATATATATATATATATATATATATGTATATATGTATATAAAATAAATATAAAATAATAATTATATATATATATATATATATATATATATAAGTCTTAGGGCTTTTTTCAGCCTCGCATGGCTAGGACAAAACTGCAACAAAAGGTGGTAACAAGTGATTAACACATGCTTGCAGGCTGCAAGCATCCGTTTGGGGCTTAGGGTCTGGAGCCCTTTATGTAGTGGTAGATGAACTTCAAGCAGCCTATATGGCAGTCCTGCCTCGTTGAAGTAAACATTGATCCTGTCAGGCATGCTCAGACATGCTAATACTTCTTTCGAGCTTCTGTCAACTACTATAGGGGCCTTTACAATTAGAATAGGGTTTGGGGGTATATGTTACTACAATTGTAATGAGGACCCCTAAAACCGATTCAGGCCTCTATATTAGGGAGCACATTTGCCCTGCCGGCCGCTAGCCTGGACTCCAGACGACGGCCATGCAGGGCTTAGATCGTCTTAGATCACGCTGGTTGACCAGAAAGCACTGAGCAACATGCAGTCGGAGATCCAAGAGAGCCAAAACAACTTAACAGTCACTCGTTACCAAAGGGGCCTTAATACTTAGAACAGGTTTTTGGGGTATATTACGTATACTATAACCATATTAGGGAAGCCCCAAAATAGTATTGGTAATTATGTAGGTTCCTATGTTTCGTTTACGAAGGGTCCTCTCCAGCTGAAGATCGGAGTCGCCGTGATAGGTGCCTGCCGATTTCGTGTGCTTTCGCAGCTTGAGTTCTTGTTAGGGAACTAATAGTTGACGTCACCACAAGAAGGAAACACATCATTTACTGTACATCCCGATTATGGTAGCTTAGATTAAACTCCTTAACAAGAATCGAGCTGCTCACCCTTCGAATTCCTCGTGGCTCACTGAGACTCACAGATGCAGAAGCGCGAGACTCAAACAGACACCAAAAGCTTTTTGAAAGGAAGCCGATCGGGCAAAGAACCGGCGCGACCTGTGGGGTCAATCCCGTGCTCGTCGGCGATGACTTCCCAGAATTTGGCACCGATCTGATTGCCGCATTGCCCTGGCTACGTGATGTTTGTCTGCCAGCAGCCTAGTCTCGAAAGCGGGCAATTAGCTGCGCGGAGGGTCTGCGCATCCAAGCTCTGCACACGATTGGGAGACAAGCCATGATTGCTTGTGTGTTTCGATATGGCTTTCACCCACAGTTTCGCAAAATTGAAAACGAACTCCGGCTCTAGACCACACCGTATGCTGCATGCAAGCGTCCTCCCTGGATGTGCACGAGCTCGCGCATGGCTTCACAGGAAGCAGAGGGCACAGAAGCTGCTTGGGAGCTGTGATGTGTCAGGCGCGCTTGAGCCCAAACCTTTTGGCAGATAGAACTCGGATCGCAAGCAATGCACACACAACATGCGAGATCATCGAGAAGGCAACATGTCCCACAACTGAAGAAGTATAGGCGAAAAGTAAATAAACCGACACACACATGGTGTGTGTGTGTGTGTGTCTCAATATCGTAATTATGCAATGCAATGCAATGCAAGCAAGCAAACAAGCAAGGATGGATGGATGGATGGATGGATGGATGCGAATACACGCCTACATACATACATACCTACCTGCCTGCCCGCGTGCGTGCATGCGTGCATGCGTGCATACAAACATAAATACATACATACATAGATTCATAGATACATACATACTTACATACTCTTACACACATCCACATGCTTGTGGTGATTCTAGGTGTGAGGATGGGGCGGCACACTCGTTGCTTCTTGGGCCCGAACCGGAGCTCTTGGTAAGACTTCTCCTGCTTTTCGAGCAGGTCCTTCGGATCAAATAAAGCCATAGTCTCCATTGTGGCTCCTGTTTCGAGGGTTCCCCTACAGGATCCGGTGGCTAAACCAAAGACGGGAGCAATGGAGACTACGTATAGCAAGCAAGTAGCAATGCACGGAGTCAAAACATTGGCCTTGATGCTGGCGGAAGTTGCTGAAGCCATGCCTTAAACCACGGTAGCCTCCTTTCATGAGCAATTGCCATGGCAACAAAACCCAGAAAGAACTGCCCTATGGTAGTTTAAAGGTAACCGTTACCCCTAAGTGTACCCCAGAACTCCTGTGGAATCCTATTCAAAGCCCAGTGCAAGCCAGCACCTGCATCTCGACGACTTTGAGGCGGGCTTCCTCCAAGGCTGCTGTTTGTTCCTGCCTTGGTCTGGGTAGCCAGAACAAGGGTTGATGCAGTTGGGAGTTAGCATTATTGGGACCCTTGCGAATGTATAGACCCTCTGAGTAAGGTCCCGTTTAAGAAAGCCAGAAGTGCCCTTTAAGGGGTCTCCCTACTACTACGAGAAGGATTTTGGTCCTAAGGTCGAGGGTTGTAGATAAACCCCAACAAGGTGGACGGGGGCGGGGGCGGGGATGATTCCATGGGCTGGGGGTTGGTGTTCCGATGTCGGTCATGACTACTCCATGCTGCTCTCGCATTGAACCACAGAACCATCACAAAGCGGGCAGGCCCGGAAAGGTTGAAACTCTGAACCTGTCTGGTCCCATGCTGCAGGCACAGGCAACATCAAGCACCGGAACATATCCTCGAACCAGGTCTCTGTCTCGTAGCACTGTGTGCTATCTCAGAACCGTGCTTTTCATCATCAGCAGCGCTTGAATCGCGCTGAGCGTGCTCCTGCAGATAGGCAATTATGAAGGCCCCTAGATGATAGAACCCTACTATAGATCCCTTAAGACCCCTTCTAAGAAAGGAAGAGCTTCGGAACGTGGGGCCAAGACGATCTCCGAAAAAACACTCCAGACTTCTGCACGGGCCTGAGCACGAGATCATTTGCAGTGGTGTCTTTGGCAAACAGCGGGAAAAACCCTAAAATCCTAAACTCTCATCCCGACAACCGCAAAGCCCTTATTGAGCGCTACACTCCTTTTTGAGCCATGGACATGAAACCGTAAACCCTAAACCCTCACTCCTAAACTCCAACATCTAACAGCCCTACCTAGACCCCCCAACTACCCTTTATTGTAGTCCCAAATTACCTCTTAGTGAGAAAGATTAGAGTCCTTTAAAGGGTACTTGGCGGGTGCTGGTAAGCCCCCAAACCCCCCCAAACCCCCTGAAGTCGATCCTACAAACCTCTTAAGTGCCTCATCCTAGGAGGGTCATGGGATTGAGTAACTTGGGTTATAGGTACCTTGAATGGAGTTATGAGTGGATAATAACTATAGTTACCTTAGTTATCAACCTACTTAGTATGGGACCCTTTTTGCACAGACTTGCATATGCCCGCCCGGATGTCGGATGTCAGAGCCGGTGCACTCGTGGCAGTAGCCCTAACCTTCTGAAGTATGGGACCCTAAACCCCTAAACCCTAAACCCCTAAACCCTAAACCCCTAAACCCTAAACCCTAAACCCTGAACCCTAAACCCTACTTCGAGGTATATCGAGCCGGAGCCCGAGCCTGCAGCTCCTGCCTAGCCAACTCGAGAGCAGCCTGGCTTTCAAAGGCTTTGAGGGTTTAGGCTTTCGTTGGGAGTTAGGATTAGGGAGACCCTTGGGGATATAGACCCTCTCAATAAGGCCCCTTTTAAGAGAGCCAGAAGGGGTACCCTTTAAGGGGTCTCCCTAATAATACTACCAATTCGTGATTTTTAGCGATGTTTTCGAGGTTCGGTAGTTTTAGGGTTTAGGGTTTTTTGGGTTTGAGGTTTTAGGGTTTTTGGGGTGTTAGAGGCTTTAGGGCTTTTCGGGATTAGAGATTTTGTGTTCGATGTTTTCCCACCTGCTTGTTGAATCTTAGGATCTAGGGTTTCGGTGCTTACAGCCCGGACACTCTCAGGATCGAGGGGTTCGGCACTGTGCTTTAGGGTTTACACTTGTTGGTTTTTTTACCGCGCCGACGCTCGCACTCGGACTTATCAGGCGAGGCATGCGTCTTGAGGTCGGCTGCGTGAAAAACATGAGGGACCGCTCGCGAACAATAATACCCAGGTAGACTCTGAAATCTGCAACCAGTCTCAGCCAGATTCCGTTAGGGGGTTTCAACATTTTAAGATGTCAAACCTTGGAGTTCGAATGACACTGCTCGGAACAATGGTGCTAGCATTTGGGGTTTTCGGGTTGCGGGGTTTAGGATTTGAATTGGGGTTTTAGGCTTTACAGCATTTGATTCGGATTGATTCCCCTGTCGCAATTCCAGACTCTCGCGATTTTGATTGAAGCTTAGGCTTAGGTATTCTCCAACAGCAGTACTCGGGCCATTGATTCCGTTACTCAACAGAACCAAGTTATCCAAGCGACAAGCCTGCAGGATACAGAGGAGCTGTCGAACTTAAGACAAACAGGCGGACAGGCACAGACGACGCAACGAGCTCGAGCACCCGTGCATGGACAGCATACACGCCCATGGACGAACTGAACAGGCGGGAGTGATGTCTATAATTACAGTGCACATCGCAGGCAGACAGACAGGTGAAACCCGAGGTAGCAATGAAACGAGCGTGACACAAACAGCGCCAGATTCCAGCAACTCCCAGCATTGGAGACACCTCCGCCTTCATGCGCAGCTGCTTCTCGTTTCGGAAGGAAACCTGCGGCGGCTAGGACATGTTCTTTTTTACGAAAATACCCTTTTCCACAGGCTTGATTAGTGCTCGCCCGGCCACGAAAATATCCTAAACCCTGAACCCTAACCCCTAAACCCAACACAACGTACTGTTCCAGCAGATGAAGGCGCCCTTTCTGCCGAAACCTAACTCAAGAACTCTCCTTCTGTTCGGCCGCTGAGCCGGAAAACGTACCCTTTTTAGGGTTCCTTGCTTTGGTATAAGTAGAGTTTAGGAGGTTGGGACATGGTGATCCAAACTCTAAAACGATATCGGACTGGAAACTAATCCCAGATCCCTACATTCCACCTAAATTTCCTAAAACCTACTCCCCATTAAGCCCTGAAATATGGAAATCTTTAGATTCAGATGTCTTCAAGTCTTCAGAAGACTCAAACCTTTCAAGACGGCGGAAACTCACGCAAGCACGCGGAGGAGCAACAGACGCCACAAATATGGGCACATGGAGCATTTCCTGGAATCACTACTAACTCAATTTATTGAGGTTTGCTTGTCCTGATTTTGTTCGCACTTGTGCTGGCCATTTTGTGCTGTATTCAGCTAACTCGGTGCTTCTTGAGCTCCGTCCAGTCCTTCCTTGTGCTCGTAGCTTGTGACCGAGAACTGTACTTTGTCCCAATCAGCTCGACTGTCAGCCTCCACTAAATTCAGTATTTTGCGTAGCTCTGATTACTATTCTTTAGAGCCCAAGCTTAACCCCTAAACCCCAGGATTGTGCGGGCGAGATGCCGACATGAGAACAGGCCCTTCATCGGTTACTCGGGGGGGAACCTGCAGTCCTCAAGCTATTAGGTATTAGCCTTCAAACCCTCTATCTCTAGCCAAATCATGTAGGGGCCTTAATAATTAGAAGAGGGTTTTGGGGCTTGTTATACTATAATTACAATAAGGAAACCCCCACAATAGTATTGCTTCTTTTGTAGGCCGCTGTAGGAAACCTGCAAATCTCATATAGAACCCTTGTAGAAGGCTGACAACGCTGCTAGTTAAAAAGCTCCGAAAAGCACCGTTTCGAAGCTCACCAAAAAAAACAAAAAACTTCAAAAGGCTTTGTCCAAAGCCACATTCTTCATATTGGAGCTCCCAAAATGGTTGGGTGTTTCAGGTGCCATCAGTATATACAGACTGTATGTGGACACTCACACTAATTACTCCCACCAAGCCTTTTCTTTTACCACTGGACTCAAGTCTAGCCAGACCTTCCACCGACTAAGCCTCAAAAACCCTTTAAACCCTTTTGGGCGCAGGAACTGCAATGCACTAAGCCCTGAACCCCTTCTATAAATCCCTTTTTTGCAGCTGGGCTCTTCTAAACCTCTCACTCTCTCTCTCTCTCTCTCTCTCTCTCTCTCTCTCTCTCTCTCTCTCCTTCCCAGGCAGCATAAACCCTAAACCTTAAATCCCAGGTACCGGGTCTTCATCCCCAAGAAACCTGGATCTCCGAATACGCCGTCGCCAGCTCTCCCAGCTCCTCGCGATTCAAAACTCGTGTATAAGCGGATCCCCTTAGTGCAATGTTGCTCTTATACTCATACTTGGAATACAACACACCCTTGATTTCTTATCCATATTTGAGGATTCGGTGCTCTATAGGTTCCGCAAGGCGCAGGGTTGAATTTCCAGCGCTGGGAGTTTTAGGGGTCAACGAATCTT